GCTAGGGAAGTGCTTATTCCACTGAGCCATCTCCCTGGCCCCTTCAATGGACATTTTATTTAGACAGAAATATAACTACTATGGTTTGTTTTTTTTTGTTTGTTTGTTTTTTAATTATTGTTTGTTGGTTGGTTTGGTTTGGGCTTTTTTTTTTTTTTTTTTTTTTTTGAGACAAGATTCAGTCCAGGCTACCTTGAACTCCCAGTCCTCTTGTCTTAGCCTCCTGAGTACCAGGATTCCAAGCCTGTGCCAACATGCCTGACTGTAGCTCCCTTTTGTTGATCATCTTGTCTAGTTTTCTCTTGCTTTTGATTATTCTCCAGTGCTTTCAGAGAGTTGCTGATTCTGTTTTCTCTGTAAAGTTTATATTAGTCTTTTTAGGAAGCATGTAAACTACTTTGCTATTGCTGGACTGAAGTCTTTTTTTTTTTTTTGGTGCTGGGAATCAAACTGAGGAACTTAAATAAATAAATAAACAAATAAAAATAAATTTGAAAAAGGGGCCAGGGAGATGGCTCAGTAGAATAAGCACTTGCCTGGCAAGCACAAGAGCCTGAGTTTAATCCCCAGTTCCACAAAAAAACAACTGAGGAACTTGTGCTTGCCAGGCAGTTGCTTATGCCACTGAGTTATCTCCCCAGCCCCTTGAAGTCCATTTTTCTTGCTAGATTACGGAACATTACTGGGGTTGACCCAAACCAATTATTTATAAGATAAAAAATATTTTTGTAATTTAGGGAAGGGTCTACAGGGTGTTCAGGGACTCACTACTAGATTGGACTGTAGTGAACCCCCTGTTTATAGCCTCCCAAGAGCTGGGATTAAAAAAAAAAAAAAAAAAGAGCTGGGATTACAGGCATGCACTACCACGCCCAGACTCAATTGCTATCTCAGGGTGCCCCAGTGGTGGGGCTAGCACCACAGGCCCAGGAATCAAACCTCCAGCCCCTCCTCAAGCAGGCACTTCAATCTGCTGAGCTATGTGGCTGGCCCTTAATTTTTTTTTTTTTTT